GAGTATGGGTACCCAGGTTCATGTTTTTAAATTCATAGCATGAAGTTCCAGATTTCGTAGTGACAAGTTAAGATTGAGCATTCATGTGTTTCATGTTCTTCATGTACTTCAGCAGAGGGAAACCCAGATTTTCCCGACTTCATTTCCTTGAGTGTGGCCACCGGGACCACACCTCGGCAAAAAGGTGTGGGACCTTGGCAATAGCCTAGTTGGTACCCAGCATGTTTTCCCGAGATGAGAAACAGTGTTTTGATTTGGTTCAACCTAGTTTGAAAATGCTTTCCTCAATGGTCATCTTCTTGAGGAGGTCTACATGCAACCTCCACCTGGGTCCACTTTTCCACCTCATCAGGTTTGCAAACTACAGCGTGCTCTTTATGGTCTCAAGCAAGCGCCTCGTGCTTGGTTTGCTAAGTTCAGTTCTACCATTTATGACTTTGGGTTCACCTCTAGCTCCTATGACTCTGCTCTTTTTATCCGGACTACTTCTCATGGTACTACTCTTCTTCTTCTGTATGTGGATGATATGATTATCACTGGTAATGATGAAGCTGGTATTCTCCACCTCAAACAGTTTCTCCACCGCCAGTTTGAGATGAAGGACCTTGGTACTCTTAACTACTTCTTAGGCCTTGAAGTCTCTCATGACTCTACTGGTTCCTATTTATCCCAGGCCAAATATGCATCCGATCTTCTGGCTCGTGCTGGTCTTACTGATTGCAAAACTACCTCTACTCCAGTTGATCCTCAGATTCGTCTCACTCCTCTCGATGGGACTCTTCTCTCTGATGCTACTCTTTATCGCCAGCTCGTCGGCAGTCTTGTCTATCTCACAGTCACTCGTCCTGACATTGCCTATGCTGTTCACATTGTCAGTCAGTACATGTCGGCTCCTCGCACTCCCCACTATACTGCTCTACTCCGTATCCTTCGCTACCTCAAAGGCACTTTGTTCCATGGTCTTCACTTCTCGGCTTCTTCCTCTCTTGACCTACGTGCCTTTTCTGATGCTGATTGGGCTGGGGATCCTACGGATCGACGCTCCACCACGGGATTCTGTTTCTTCTTAGGGGATTCTCTTCTTGCTTGGCGTAGCAAAAAACAATCCCTCACTGCTTGCTCTAGCATCGAAGCTGAATACCGAGCTCTTGCTGATACTACTCAGGAACTTCTCTGGCATCGCTGGCTCCTTGCTGATATGGGTGTTTCTTCTTCTGGTCCTACCCCTCTCTATTGTGACAATCAGAGTGTCATTCAGATTGCTCACAATGATATTTTTCATGATCGCACCAAACATATTGAGATTGATTGTCATTTCATTCGCCAACATGTTACCTGTGGTACTGTTCATCTTCTCCCTATTGCTTCAGTCGATCAACCCGCTGATATCTTCACTAAGGCTCATCCTCCTAGCCGCTTCAATGATCTTGTTTCCAAACTCAACTTGGTTGATGCTTTCCCTCCTTGAGTTTGCGGGGGGATATTAGTATTATATGTTAGTGATGTTAGTATTATATGTTAGTGATGTTAGTATTATATGTTAGTGATGTTAGTATTATAGTATTATATGTTAGTGATGTTAGTATTATATGTTAGTATTGCTACTGTTATCATTATGTTTAGTATAGCATTATGTTAGCTTTAATAATTATCCTTACTTTATGCTTTCGGTGCCTCAATTGGCACTTTATATTGGCTTTCTCCTCTCTATAAAGAGAGTGTACATCTCTTTGTAAACATATAGAATAACAGAGATAATTCAGTGTCTCTCTCTCTCTCTATCCTCTCTCACTCTCTGAAACTAATATTTCAAATATATTGGGCCAGTTAAATATATCACATTGACCAGATCACATTTATATTAACGATTGGTTCTTAATATTATATTTGTTGTTGACATAAATATATCTACTTTATATAATTTTTTACAAATATACTTAACGGGCCATATACATTGAATGATGTAAATTATCAAAATTATTAATAAAAAAATGTCAAACATTCTACTTTTTTTTTTCACTTCTAAACCGTTCCAACTTATGAAAAATGATACATCTCTCTAATTTAAGAGTTTTAAAAAAACACTAATAATATGAAAAAAAAAAATTAACATCAAAATATCACATCACGTAAAATTCATATACCAATTAAAACTATTAGAACCCGCTGAGAATCTCCTTTCCCAACTTATTTCCACCGGCCAACCAACGGTTTACGAATGTAAAAGATATCTCCATTTATCTCAGCTTTTTACTTTCTTTTTTTTTTTTAATTTATTTATTTTTTATTACTGGCATATATCTATATACAATGTGCCTGTTTGACAGAGTTTAATTACAGCTTATTTCAGCTTTCAACTTAATTTAAGCTATTTTGATGTGTTTAGTTTAACTTATAACTTATAGCTTATAACTTTTTGGAAGTCAGAAATCAGCTTATTCTTTGAGTGAGGCAGGAGATGCTTTAAGAATAAGTTGAAAATCAGCTTAAGCTGAAAGTTATAAAGGTATAAGCTGTTGAGACATAAGCTATAAACACTTTCCAACAGTTCTACCAAACAGGGCCAATGAGTAAATACAGTTCTCTTACATGCGATTATAACCTTTTATCTGCCCCTCTACTATTCGCATTCAACGCATTTTGCATTCACAGATCATACACACATACATATATACATGGAAAAAAATTATGGTATGCGCTGGTACACCATTTGTATTTTATAATTAAAAAAAATAATAAAATTTCATATTTTTTAAATCATAACAAAAGAAAAAAATTCAAAAATAAACACTACATGAGGGCATAACAAAAAAATTTATGAATTTTAATTAAAATAAAGTTATAATTAAAAAAAAAATCGCCATAACTAAAGAGAAAAAGATACATATAGGCTTCATTTAAAAAGTGAGTTTGTTTTTTAGCTTTTTAACTTTTTGATTTTTTGATTATTTTAGCTTAAAATTAAAAAATTCATATGTGTTGGCTTTTTTAGTTTTTTTAACTTTTACTAGAGAAAAAATAAAATAATTATGATTTGAATTTAACATTTTATTTTATTGATTTTTTTAATTTATTTTATCTTTTTTTTTAAAAATAATTTAGCCAAATTTTTTTTAATAAAAAATTCACTTGACAAACCAGCGCATAAACAGTGTGATGGAGAGAGAGAGAGAGAGAGAGAGAGAGAGTGACAGAAGTCTTGAGAAGCAGACACATCTGATGGCCTATTACAATCCAAGCATACACATATACATACAGATAAGGACGAAATTTTTACTTTCCTCTCTATTCTATATATACCTCTCTCTCATTTTATCTTCTCATATCTCACAGCCGTCTGTGACACCTCTGTTTCGATTTCTGAAAGTGTTTCTTGATCTGGGTTTTTCTGTTTTTGCTTTTGAATTGAAGAAATGGGTGGCGTTGCACATTTAGTGTTTGGAGTCTTTGGTGGGTCTAAGTATTCTATTCTATTTTGATTGATTTCTTTTTTGAATTCTTTTCACTCAATTGTGTTTCAAATTCATACTACTACTAATTAAACTCTTGATGTTACTACTTTTTGTTTTCCTGTTTTTTCGCAACAGGAAATGCTAATGGGCTGTTGTTGTTTTTGGCACCCACGTAAGAATCTTGAAACATTTCTACATCTTTTTTCCGAACAATTCAATATGATATCAGAACACAGTTGATTCCGTGTCGCAACATCAACATCTACTTAAGTCTTGTTTGGCAATCTTGTGTTTTAATTATAAAGTCAAAAAATTACTATAAATTGACACATCAATCTTTTTAATTTTCTATAAATCATTTCGTAAAAAATTAAAAAATTATCAAAATAACATATTACCAAACAAGACTTAATAATTAAAATACTTCATTGTGTTTGCCCCATTTATTAACGAGTCTGGCAACGTGAGAGGCGTGTTAAGATTATTATAATAAAAATACTAACGTAAAGAATGCATGACAATCTTTCAATGCATTTTCTGTAAATCAATTTGTTATCCATTCTGTTTTTGTGGCATTGCTTTAGGAATTTTTTTATTCTCACAAAATTTTTATACAAATTTTTTTACCAAAATAATGTAACGAAGACATTTTGATAATTACTTGTTATTTTAATAAGCATTCTTATTTTTATTTTAAAATGATTGATTGCAATGGAGCCTCATAAATTCTGTATAAAAAATTTATATATTTTTTCTTATTTGTATATTATTCTATAAATAATAAATTTACACATTTCTCAAATAATTTAAACTTTTAATTGAGATTTTAAAACCTCTCTTTATATATATATATATATATAGAAATTGAATATGGAAACTCATGAATTTCTAAAGCAACAAGCAAATTATAAACTTTCATGCATTTTTCTCCTCATGCCACGCGACAACTTTATATATGCTAAAATAAAAAAAATATTATACAGATCATAAATAAGTTTTGAACCGAAAACCTTGAGTTTCATTAAGAACATATTTATCATTTAAGTAACATATATATTATGATATTAAATTTTTTATTATTTGTTTTTATTATTAATTATTTGAATTACACACGTATCACGTGTACTACCTACTAATAGTATACTATATAAAGTAAACAACTCGCTCTAGTGAAGAGGACTTGAACTTTTAAGACTATAGATTTGGTAAACAATAACTTTTTTACTTGAGTAACACACATTACAAACCCAGGTATGTAGCGCACTTGATAAAGGCTTTGGGGTTAAGATTCAAGTCTCAAGTTTGAAATTTCTTGGACTAACCTCCTGGGCGTAGTGTAGTTAGTTAGGAGGTTAGCTCAAGTTGCTGTTATCATAGTACTTGGTGTGGGTTTCATACTCCCCCACTGCGCAAGTCCTGACCTAAGTAGAATTTGTCTTGACAAATTTTCAAGTTATAGTTTCTAACTTAGAATGGACAACAGGGTATCTTGATGATCTCAGTAAGGGGTGCTGCTTTGGACTTACCAGAGAGGAGAAGGATTTTCTTGTAATAATAAAAAAAACACACACACACACATTACATGTTTTTAATTTAAAATTAAAATATATGTTTTACAAATTTAACAGCACACTCATCAAATAGATACACACACTACTATATACATATAAAAGCACACAAGCACATGCATTTACCTCTCTCTTGTTTTGTTCACAGGAAATTTCATGTATAAAAAAAAATTATTAATTGATTCTCTCTCTCTCTCTCTCTCTCTATATATATATATATATATATTATTTATGCAAAAAAAATTAAATTGATATAATAATCGCATCACTCCCATTTTATTGTATTTGTCTAAGTAAAAATAAGTTGTCCATTTTTACTCGCCGTCCATTTTTCAGAAATAACATGATAAAATGAAAAATTACAATTATCAAATTAACTTAATTTTTGTATGAATGATATATACTGAGGTTTCGTTTAGGACTTTTTAGCTTTTTGGCTATTTTATTCTGATTAAAAAGTTTTGTTTGAGATAACTTTTTGATTTTTTTTTTTTGGTTTGGATGTGATGGTTGTGAGAGAAAAAGTGAAATGATTATAGTTTAAATGTAATATTTTTTCTTATTTTGACTTTTTAACCTATTTTGCCTTTTTGTGGGCTAAATTAGCCCAACCCATTTGCCAAACAATACTTGAAAATTGAATAACATGAATGGTTCAAATTATCAAAATAAAATTCGTGATGGCTCCCAATGCCCGACTCATATATGAGTGTGACTTTCTCAGCTTCATTGATACTCTTAAAAGAAATGATTAATATGTGTAAATATACAAGTATTATTGTTTGGTGGTTTATTTGGTTTTTAGGTCTTGTTGTTTTTTAATTCGTATATTGTTTATTTTATTTTAATATAACTGTTTTTCATCTTTTCAAAAAAACAAAAAAATCCTAAATGGATTTTATAAATTAATGGTGCATAGGATAACATTTAAGAGGATTATCATGAACAAATCCACAGAGCGATTCTCAGGCATTCCGTACGTCATGACATTGCTCAACTGCTTGCTTTCTGCTTGGTAAGTTATTTAAATTGCTTCAAAAAATTTCAAGTGGATGGTTCATATTTAAAATTGAAATTATGAGGTCATATCTTAAGTAAATCTTAATCATTAATGATGAATTTTAAATATTTTTTGATTTTTTTCCTAAGATGATAGTAACAACGGTGTACATTAAGAATTGCACAAGAGCAGTGAAGTATTGGATATTTGAAAGTTTTGATTTATTACACTCTCAATTTTCAAAACTTTGGATTCAGAAATTAACTTTGCTTCAAACAAAGAATTAAAAAATTGAGCATGTGAATGCGTGAAAATAGAAGCTTCCCAAGTTGTTGGAGGAGGCCAAGTAGTATGCTAAATGACATAATTGCCACTGTATATTATGTCATACTATTACTAATTACATATTTCATTTTATTATTACAAGCTACAACAGTGTTCTATCACCCACCTTTAATAAAGATTTCTTCCTATTTTGTGATATTGGCAAATAGAATAAAGTGTACGGTACACACTCTCACCGTGTATACAAGCTATAACATTTATGCGGTTGATTATCATAATGTTATAACTGAATCATTTTAAGGTTATAACTAAAAATACAAAAATTGAATTATAACCGAATATCGCATAGCTTATAGCAAAACACCTATTGAATCATAATTAAAATAATTTCATAATAATTAAAATAACTTCATAACTAGTATTATAATGAGTCATGACTACTACAACATATTAAGGTTTTAGAGACAAAAATTTAGAGGGAAAATTACTTGTTAGGGACAATATATTTTTGTCTCCAAGAGTGTTATTTTTTTATTTTAAGCGACAAAATTGGATATTTAATGATGAATTACTAACTTTTTGGGACTAAAAGTATTGTGTAAAAAAAACCTTTTTAGGACTAAGTTATTTTGTCCCTAAAAGTGAATTTATTAGTGATATTTTTAAAATTTTGTTCCTAAAAGCTCATATTTTGACTTTTCAAGACGATCTTTTAACAATGATTCTTGCGATAGTTAAAATTAGTCCTTAAATATTTTTCGCAACAAAATTTATACTTTTAAAAACAAAAAACAAAAAAAACTACTACATGTTATAATGAACTATAACCACAATAAATTGTAACCGAAAATCACATCACGAACGTCATAATTAAGAGACGGGTGTATAGTAAAATTTCCCAAAGTTATATTTGTGTCCCCTACTTCTGTTATTTTTTGAGTTTCCATTCATCAATTCATGAATAAAAAAGTGGCTTGACCCAACTTGTCATTAGCATATATTTATATATATTTTTTTTGAACAAACCTGTCATTAGCATCTTTGATGACATGAGTTCAAGTCATGAAAGGAGTGTCACAAACTTGTCATATTTTTTTATTATCAAAATATTGTCCTTAATTATTTGTTTATATCGATGAGAATGACAAAACTCTTTTAATCTCATCTTTGTTATAAATTCAATTTTTTAATTTATAATTTGTGATTGAGTTTTAACCCCCCAAAAAAGAAGATATCCTATTTGCACATTATACAATATTTCAGTACACATCACAAATGATGTTAAGACATAAAGTTATGAATAAAAATAAATTGTTCAAATATACATTCCATTCAACTATTTACTTTCGAACAACTGTTTTATGTTCATAAATTTATATCATACATTTAATTTTTGTTCGGATCTTTGCAGTGTGTATTATTATTTTGTAGGGTATGCAAATAGAATTACCTTAAAAAAAAAAAAAAAAAACTTGTACTGGATTGTTGGTACAATTTTGCCCTCATGACACAATCACAATCTGATTTACAAATATCCCTCAATCGAATGGAACAGGTATGGTCTGCCTTTTGTTTCACCACACAACCTCCTAGTGACAACCATCAATGTCACTGGTGCAGCAATTGAGTCCATCTATGTGTTGATTTTCCTCATTCTTTCACCAAGGAGAGAGAAGGGAAAGATCCTTGGACTTCTTACCGTTGTCCTTGCGATATTCGCGGCGGTTGCCCTCATTTCCTATTTTGCCCTTCATGGCAGAAACCGAACTATTTTTTGCGGTCTAGCTGCCTCGATCTTCTCCATCATCATGTACGCGTCGCCTCTATCAATCATGGTATAAGCTCTTCTCACTTACTTCCATTTTTTTATGTTTTTGCAAGTGATAGAAATCATATATGTCAATGCTATGCAAATTGATATATTATCAGTTTAATTGAGTTTATACATATTCATGATGATTTTTAAATGTACAGAGAACGGTGATAAGAACGAAAAGTGTGGAGTACATGCCATTTTTCTTGTCGCTGTTTGTGTTCTTATGCGGTACTTGCTGGTTCCTCTATGGACTGCTTGGAAAGGACCCTTTCATTGCTGTAAGTAACCACCATTACAACTTGTATTATGTATCAAGTATGTATATATATATATATATATATAAAATGTTATTGAAATTGGTAATGAATTTGCAGTAGAACTACACTTGTTTCATGTCACAAAGTCTAGCTTTTGTACTTTGAATCTGGTTTGGAATTTAGCTCCCTTTGTTTGTTAGGTTTCGTTTGATAACATCGTCAATTTTCTGTAAAATAAAGAAACATATTTGATGAGTTATACAGATGGTAGGGGATGGACAGATGTGGTAACCAATAGTGGGGGTGGCTGGAGGTGGTCGTAATGTTGTTGGAGGTCATATATATATATATATATATAAAATGTTATTGAAATTGGTAATGAATTTGCAGTAGAACTACACTTGTTTCATGTCACAAAGTCTAGCTTTTGTACTTTGAATCTGGTTTGGAATTTAGCTCCCTTTGTCTGTTAGGTTTCGTTTGATAACATCGTCAATTTTCTGTAAAATAAAGAAACATATTTGATGAGTTATACAGATGGTAGGGGATGGACCGATGTGGTAACCAATAGTGGGGGTGGCTGGAGGTGGTCATAATGTTGTTGGAGGTCACAAGGTGGCTAGAGGTTTTCTCTTGCTAAGGTCACGGGCGGTGATTGGCTAGTCATGGGTGGCAGTTGGTGGTGATGGCGAGTGGGAGAGGGAGAGGGAGAGGGAAAGGGAGAAGAGTAAAAATTTATCTTGAAAAAAAAAGAAGTGAAAACACATTTTATCCGTTTCCAAAAGTTTTTGAAAAAATTCAAACCAATTTCACTTTTTTTGAAAACAAAAACAATATATAAATTTTCATTTTTAGTTTTCTACAAAATTAGCAATGAAATTTTGTTTCTAGTTTTATAAAAAACTGACAACACTATCAAATGAGGAAGGTTTATGATAAATTGACGAACACATTAAATGGTTGTGCAGGTGCCTAACGGTTTTGGATCCGGGTTAGGAACAGTGCAGCTGATCTTGTATGCGATTTACCACAACAAGAAGGGTGAAACCAAGAAACCTAGTGTTGATGGATCGGTGGAGATGGAGCTGGCTAAGCCCCAGCAATCACAAAACGGGCATGTCTAGATGACCACGTGTCAACTGCATTTGGTAGACAATTGCATCCAGTTTCCCCTTCTTTCAACTTTACTCCCTCCCCTTGTTATGTTTTTCTCTGGTTTTAGAATTTTAGCTTCCCTAATATATCATGGTTCTGTTTCTGTAAATCCCCAAGGGTTGGCCTAGTGGTGTAGGCTTGGGGTTTAGGAACTTGCTCCTCTCTAAGTTTTAGGTTCGAAACTCTTAGGTATTATCAATCCTTGTGTTGGGTCAGTTCATACAGAATTCTGCTCTGATTTTAATTGGGCCTCTGCTAGTAGACGGTGGAATTGATCTCTCAGATATTAATTGAGGTGCGTGTAAGCTGACTCAGATACCTGAGATATCAAAAAAGAAAAGAGAAAAAAATGGTTCTGTTTCTGTAGCTTTGGACCATACTAGTTTGACCATGCCAATTATTAGGCCATATTGCTATACAAAACAAAAAAATAAAAAATAAAAATGCTGAATTTGGATGCATGTATTTGTGGTTTGCAAATTACTCTCTCTATGTTAGCTTCTCTACATGTATGTATTATATACCTGACAGTAAGACTGCAAATGAATTGAATTGTTCATGAATAAGCTTGACTCGGTTCGTTTGGTAAACGAGCCTTGCTCGAACTTGAACATTAGGCTTGTTTAGTAAACGAGTCGAGTACGAGCTCGCATAAGCTTGACTCGTTTATCTTTATTTAAATTATATAATAAATGTATTATTTATATATTAATAATATATAAATATATATATGTAAAGCAGCACATAAATTTAATAAATTAACAAATTAAAACTAAGAAATTAAAACAAACAACTTAAAAATTAAAACAAAAAAAGTTAAATAAACTAAATAAAATATTTTAAATAAGAACATATAAATAAATTAAGGCTCACAATATTAACTTACAATTGGTTATTGGAAAATACAGAATTGTTTACTGGAAGTAACTAGGAAATACAGCTTCTACTTGCATCCTTAAAGACTGAATTTTAAAGAAAATTGTGATCTCCTTCTTTCTTTTTTCGCTCTGCCTTGGTCTTGACTGAGAAGCCTCTTTTATAGGCAAAGTGGATAACTGTTGAGCTTGTGAAACTTGGAACTGTGAGGTCCATGATTAGAGCTGTGAGGCTTGTGACTTCAAAAGCTGAGAAATGTTATAAGACTTGTGACTTCTGAAAAGCTTGAAAATAAGAGGTACATAGGTGCAAAGAGCATCTTTCCGTGACCAAGAACTTTTTTACTCTTTTATTTTATTTTATTTTTATTTTACTTGCAGTGAGGGAACGTGACTGCATAGTTGACTGATGGGGAATCAATATATATATCAGCAGCTTTTCTCAAAGTAAGAGTGGTGACTGAAGTTGATTTATACATATATAGAATCCAATGGCTGATTGTTTAAGCATATGGATTTTGAGCATCTTGAAACTGGGGCCCATAAGGATCATTATTGGTTGAAGCCTCAGAGGAACTAGATTCTTCAAAGGTTTCATCTCCAACCTGTGACTTGGCTTGGGCTATCAATAGCTTGGCCATCTGGATCAATTCATCACTGGATGACTTGGTTTTAGCTTTGGGCTTTGACTGAGCTGACTTGGATTTGGATGATTTGGGCTTGGAAGAGCTAGTTGTTGGGCTTCCAAGTCTGATGGTGGAATTGGGCTTCCTTGAGTTCCTTGGGTGACTGAAGCAATTGGATTCTGCTGAGCTTTGACCATTGCAAGTGTTAGTGCATGGAGATTGACTGGGAATTCTTCTTGAACTTGATCAATTATGTGTTGGGGTTTAAAATTATCCCACCACTTAATAAAGTGTTGGTGGATAACTAGGTTATCAGAAATAGCATATTGCCATTTAAATATCCAGGGGACTTTGTATTTGGATATAAAAATGAGTAACCAAGGAAATTGTTTTTGTTGTTGACTGAGTTTAAAAACATAAGAGAAATAATTTACTTATTCAATTAAAACAGAGGGGAAGATTTCAGGAATAGCACCATGTTGAGTCCACCATCGAAGAAACCAAGTGGGAAATTCTAACTTGAATTTATGGTCAAATTGGAGGAACCAAGAATGACTGTATAACTTATTTTGATACAGGAGAACTTTAAACCAAGCATCCATATAGTCATAATAACTATATTGGATTGTATGACTAGGTAAATCTTTAAGTTGAAAAGGAATACCCCATTTATCAAAAGAAACTATATTGTGGATGTAAAGAGAATGGTAAACAATTTTGCTAGTGTATGTACGATTATAGATGGGTTTAATGATTATTGACTGATGATGAAAGAGAATATATTTGTAGTAGGTAATTGACTTTCCTAGATGGAGTGGAACAAAATGCCATCCAAGAGGGAAATAGGATTTAACTAGATCAAGAACATTATGGGTATTCTTGTGAATAGGTTCTTTGAAAAAGATATTAGTTGATTGAAATTTGACATAACCAGATTAGACTGATTTGACTAGGTTAGGAGGATAAGAAGTGAATGACTGAGAAGAAGAAGCTGTAGACACCCCATTTTTGACTGCCTTTAAGACTTGAGCGCTTGATTCCGAACACTCGATGATGAAAGCTGAATTATGAATTCGCGACGATTCGGAATCAGTCAAACTTCTGAAATAACCTCAAGTCTTCAACATTTACTTTGTTTGAACCCGTGAGCTTTATTTTTGGACCTTTTCCCTCCATGAGCTGAGTTTGAACCAAAAAAATAGGGGAGGCCATCAAAGCTCGGGCGTGCATTGGTGATGCCCGGCTGTGGCTATGAATGGTCGGCCGGCCTTCGATGGTATTAAAAACTGTTCTAGGCGGGAGACAGCCAGTTGTCCATTTTTGAAGATATTTGCCACCTCCTGAGCTCGAATTCTATAAAATGAAGGCTCTGGGATTGTGTTGGGGTTGAAAAAAAATATCAAGAAGAGATATATACATATAGAGAGCCTCTCCCCCTCCTTCTTCCTTGGGAAGCAAGTTTTGAGCTAACCTAGCTTGTTTATCTCCACCATACACACCCTACACAACCTGGTTTGATTATTCTAAGGCCTTGGTTGATCTTGAGAAAGCATAATTCAAACTAGAGAGTGCATATGAATCAAGTTTGAAGCTCCAGGAACAAGTTTGTTTCTTGATAGGTATAAGCTTGTGTCATTCTTTGACCTTCTCTTTTTCACTCTTACTTTTTGGGTTTTCAAACTAATTTTCAGAGGCTTGAGAAGGCTAAAAACCATGTTTTGAAGCTTCAAAAATGAAGGGGTTTAGCCACCCCTCCTTTCTTTTGTTCAGAATTCTTCTTGAACTTGATCAATTATGTGTTGGGGTTTAAAATTATCCCACCACTTAATAAAGTGTTGGTGGATAACTAGGTTATCAGAAATAGCATATTGCCATTTAAATATCCAGGGGACTTTGTATTTGGATATAAAAATGAGTAACCAAGGAAATTGTTTTTGTTGTTGACTGAGTTTAAAAACATAAGAGAAATAATTTACTTGTTCAATTAAAACAGAGGAGAAGATTTCAGGAATAGCACCATGTTGAGTCCACCATTGAAGAAACCAAGTGGGAAATTCTGACTGGAATTTATGGTCAAATTGGAGGAACCAAGAATGACTGTATAACTTATTTTCATACAGGAGAACTTTAAACCAGGCATCCATATAGTCATAATAACTATATTGGATTGTATGACCAGGTAAATCTTTAAGTTGAAAAGGAGGACCATTGTGAATGTAAAGAGAATGGTAAACAATTTTGCTAGTGTATGTACGATTATAGATGGGTTTAATGACTATTGACTGATGATGAAAGAGAATATATTTGTAGCAGGTAATTGACTTTTCTGGATGGAGTGGAACAAAATGCCATCCAAGAGGGAAATAGAATTTAACTAGATCAAGAACATTATGGGTATTCTTGTGAATAGGTTCTTTGAAAAAGATATTAGTTGATTGAAATTTGACATAACCAGATCAGACTGATTTGACTAGGTTAGGAGGATAAGAAGTGAGTGACTGAGAAGAAGAAGCTGTAGACACCCCATTTTTGACTGCCTTTAAGACTTGGGCGCTTGATTCCGAACATTCGATGATGAAAGTTGAATTATGAATTCGCGGCGATTCGGAATCAGTCAAACTTCTGAAATAACCTCAAGTCTTCAACATTTACTTTATTTGAACCTGCGAGCTTTATTTTTGGACCTTTTCCCTCCATGAGCTGAGTTTGAACCAAAAAAACAGGGGAGGCCATCAAAGCTCGGTTGTGCATTGGTGATGCCCGGCTGTGGCTATGAATGGTCGGCCGGCTTTCGATGGTATTAAACACTGTTCTAGGCGGGAGGCAACCAGCTGTCCATTTTTGAAGATATTTGCCACCTCCTGAGCTCGAATTCTATAAAAGGAAGGCTTTGGGATTGTGTTGGGGTTGAAAAAAAATATCAAGAAGAGATATATACATATAGAGAGCCTCTTCCCCTCCTTCTTCCTTGGGAAGCAAGTTTTGAGCTAACCTAGCTTGTTTATCTCCACCATAAACACCCTACACAACCTGGTTTGATTATCCTAAGGCCTTGGTTGATCTGGAGAAAGCATAATTCAAACTAGAGAGTGCATAGGAATCAAGTTTAAAGCTCCAGGAACAAGTTTGTTTCTTGATAGGTATAAGCTTGTGTTCTTCTTTCTTGCTTTCATTTCTATCATCTACACCATCATTCTTGCTGTTTTGGTGGCTTTTGGACTTGTTTGGAGTGTTGGAGTTGGGTTTGGAGAGTTACTAAAAGGGTAGAGAGAGCTTGCTCTCTCGACACCTTTATCCATAACTCAAACCTTCTCTTTTTCACTCTCACTTTTTGGGTTTTCAAACTAATTTTCAGAGGCTTGAGAAGGCTAAAAATCATGTTTTGAAGCTTCAAAAATGGAGGGGTTTAGCCACCCCTCCTTTCTTTTGTTCACTAGTTTTGATTCTCTTCCTCATTGTTAAGCTTTTAATGCGTTATTAGCCACTGTTTTTACCTTTTTAGGGGCTATTTTGGTGATTCCATGGCCTTTAAAATTATTTCATGCTTTGGTTAGTTCATGTGTTGTCCCATAAGTTGGCCTACATAACTTGTTGTAATGCTTTCTTTGCTTTGTTTTCATGATTAAATGTTTCACTCTAACCAATCAACCAATCATCTATCACTTGTATTTGAGAATGACTTCAACCAATCGAGGTTGCTCAAAACATGTAAGAATGGCCTACACTTAATGGCTTAATTTCTTAGGAGATTCATTGTCAACGGTGTAGCCTTTCTCTCATGTTTTAGAGAAACCTCTCGTTTGATATTATTTCTTGATTAGAGGACTTAACTTCACTATGGACAAATAGGCTAATGAATGGATATGACTAAAGCAAATTGGCTTAAAATTTGGTTCAACACACTTAAAGAAAATAGCTTGAAAAGCTTGAACTTGGCCGGATGTTATGCCAAGCTTCTTGTGTC